CCAGTCTGAAAGGAAAATCAAAAGAAGAAATTACTGCACAAAGAAGAATCGTGTAAGAAAACTTACAGAATATGTTAGCTAATCGAGAGGATACAAATAATCAAATGCAAGAAATGTATTTTGCTACAGATTGTAAGAGAGATGATTTGAAGTAAAAGACAACAAAAACCCCAACCATTGGCCATCTACCACATCCTACTGAATCCCCAATTGAAGCTCTATTGCCTGAAGTGCTGACAGCACATCAAATGATTGTTTAGAGATAAATTAAGGGCTGAATATATTTGGGGAATGCTTTAGGGCTTTAACTTCCTGCTTGCCCTAGTATTTAACTGTCACTCTTGCACAGAATAGGCAAAGACAATATGCTGAAAAATATTCAAAAAGGAATGCATTGTATGCTTTGGTTATATTAGTGGAGAAAGTAGCTTTGGAAAAGTCAGGTAACTTTTATCGAGCTTAAAAGTCCATCTGGCAAGTACGCCTTCACAGACAAATCTGTTTTCATGTATTTTCAGTCCTTGTTTCCTTGAGACCAATGTTGTTTTAAAGAATAATACTGACTACACATACATGGTTAATTCTGAAATACTGGTCTTAATTCACATTAAAAAATCTATTAATATGGCATGCATTTAGGTGGCTACTAACCATATTAAGTTAGGATTTATAGATTTTATAAATGTGATTCATAAACACTTCAATCCACGTAAAAACAATAAATCTATGTGGTTGAATTATACTATTAAGAAATGAGGACAGAGAGAGGAGGGTTTCTCATCAAGTTTAAAAATAGAAAATCCAAGCCGTGCTGTCCATCTGGGACCAATAAAATAATATTATTGTAGGGTTTTCATCTTCATTTTCGCTTGGATTATTCTATTAAAGTTCTAGTGATAATTCCAGTATTTGTCACCAGATGGCACTGACACGACACTCGTAACCACTCTTAATACTCGATTAGTAACATAATGAGGTCATCTTCAGATGATTACAAAGTATGCATCACTATTTCAGATTGCATTAAGCAATGTTCCTCCACACTGCTATGTTTATACCATCAGGCTCACTGGCACAGCTATGACAGCTAGTATTTTTAATATTCTTAGCCAACTGAACCTTGTAAGAAAAGCTCAGTAGTGGAGACCAATACCTACCTACCAAGCTAAATTTGTTCCGATCCTGCCATGAGCAAAACTGAAGGCAAACGCTGCCTTTAATGGCAAGAGATGAAGAGCAGCAGCAGCTCCCACCTACGTCAGGTCATGCACAGAGATGTACCTCAGTTCCCTAGCCTTGCACTTCGGAACAGGATCCCAGTCTCAGGCCATCAACCACTACCTATCCCACTCCATTCTTTTTCAGCGCAGAATTTTGTGCTTTCCCTTGTTTCCCTTCTCCTCTCACATGGACCAACCTCTTCCATGCCCTAATTTACCTCTCAGTTCTAGTGCTCCCTGATACATTCTGTCATTATCTACCACTGTAGCTTGAATTACAAGTACTGATCCTAACTGTGACTCATTGCAGATTTTAGGAAGCAAAAAGAAATAAGCTGGGATTGCAGAGATGTGTTGAGCAGTAAGCTACAATTGCCTTTTGAGAAGCCAGCTTCACCACTAACACAGCTGTCAGGACTGCAGTGTTGGCATCCAGGCAATCACTTTGAAGTTGTTCAAGGGTAAATACAAATAGTTTGGGATTTTTATTTGCAGATCAAGGTGTGTAGCATTTACAAGTTTGCAGCATAAAAAGCTGTCATGGTTTTCTCTTAGAGGTCTAATGCCTCTCTGATTTTCAGCAGGATGCTGATATTTGGTAGAAAAGTAATGCTATGATATAGAAAATTAAAAGCTAGGACAATTGCTTCTGTCTGTGTCTCATATGGCACATAGCTAGATGGTGCGTGTTTTGGCAAAACACTCAAATCTCTTGACAGCATGAACACTTTAGCATACACTGAACTGAACTTTTCTCTGTAGCAGACAAAGTGAAAAATATTGGTGATTTTCAAAATTTTGCTCCTGTTTTCTGCTCAGATTACAGAGTGAAAACAAATGACCATGTGATCACAATTGTTACTCCCCCACTCTTCTGCAATTACTTTCATGTAGTTCAACTGCATTAAAAGTATTAAATATAACAATAGCAAACTTACAGAGAGTGGCTGGAACAGCCTAGCAGAACTCTTCCCATTATATGAATTGGAATTAGTAAAGTCATAAAAATGTCAGTGGATGTTTACAACAGAAGGAAAGCATTGGAACAAGAACTTCAAGAGTCTCATTTTGTTTACTTTCAAAATGTTTACTTATTAACTGGTGGGAGTGGCAAGGTGTGACAATCATCAAGCCACAAAGACTCTGGGCAGTAAGGGAGATGAACTGTCTGGGGCTGTTCTGATGAATAAGTAAAATGTAAAGTGATATGTAAATGAACATGAGGAAGCGACTGAGCATAGCAGATATCGAGTTCTTTTTGTACATTACCCTTAAATGTTTGACTGTGGGGCATGTGCAAATAGCTCCTCCACAAAAAAGGCATGTAGGTGCATTATGATTATACTGTGAATCTGACTAATGAAGATAATGTATGAATCCATGAGCACACAACAAAATAGACAAATTTTCAAAAACATTAATGATTTTCTTGTTTCTAACCTGTTCTAATTTCTAACCTGTTTCTTGTTTCTAACCTGTTTCTAATCAGTTACTAACCTGATTTGGAAATCAGTGTTTGAAAACCATGACAATTTTATTACATGGCACTGGCAAAAACTTATCAAGCAGATAACTTCACATCTCCCTTTTCTCATCTACTGATGAGTATACCTCTACAATGCATAGCCACATAATTTCTAACATATGTTTCACTCCCTTTACATGTTTATCCATTTTAGAAAGTTACTGGTTTGTTGTTAGTTCTTTTCTGTCTTAACACTTGTTATTGAATCCTAAATATATCACAAACCATACCTCTTTGGACAGTCAAGATGATTAAGCTTTAGGGACTTTAATACCTCCCTCACGTTCCTACACTGCCTGACTTCCTGCCTTTGCTATGAGTAGATATCCTTCCTCTACTGATTTTCAGAGCTTTAAATCTAGGTTTAGCTTGATGCCCTACATCTGTGAGTCTGCTTCAGGAAGAGGTGGGCTGATAAAGCTGGGAACTTGTTTTTCTCAGGGTCCTGGTACAAGATCAGAGACAGAAGGAAAAGAACTGAGATCTTTTTTGTACCTCAAATGGAAAAACAAGACAGAGGAACTGAAATATTCTCCAATAGACAAGGAAACCCCTGAGCAACAGATTCATGCCTGTTGTAGAATTAACTTGTTCTTGAATATCATGCTTAATATTGGTTTCTCCAAAGGACAGTATATGCCATGCAGTAGCTGAAGTAACTGTTAACATCATGAGATGGTTTGGACTTTTTCAGTGCTATCATTGTACTAATGAAACAAATAATATGGTTATTTTCTCCTTAAGTCTTGCTCTACTGGCCAGGAGTTCCCCTATGTGATGCAGTGCTACATGGACACCTAAAGTGCTTACGCTACTGTGTTAGCAATTACTGTGTTAGCCAAGAACGGATTATCAGGCTTTCTATGAGGCAACTAGCAAACTAATGAGCTCTTTGTCTGATGAAACTATGCTCCCATTGAACTACTGTTTGAAACACACAGATCAAACCAGGCAGCTGGGCATCTCGCAGGTGAGCAGGAGAACAAACTATAGTCTTGTGCTGCAAATGAGAGATATATGTAGTCTTTGCTACAAGAAGGGGTGCCCGAGGAAGGATACGTTTGACTTCACACCTCTCAGAAGAAAGTCATTCCCCTTATAATGAAAGCTGTTGCCAGAAGCAACAGAAATCGTAAGAAATCGTTCCAGAAGCAGCAGACTTAACAAGGCCTCTCTTCACTGAGATTCGTCTCCTACATCTGCCTCAGTGTACATTTTTCCTGTCCTGTCCATCCGCAGGTCCTCCCATGCTCCACTGCAGTGCCCGGGTGGTCCTTCCTGCCCTGCATCAGAAATAGTGTGGCCAGCAGGAATAGGGAAGTGATTGTCCCCCTGTACTTGGCACTGGTGAGGCCACACCTTGAGTCTTGTGTCCAGTTTTGGGCTTCTCACTACAAGAAAGACATTGAGGTGCTGGAGCGTGTCCAGAGGAGGGCAACAGAGCTGGTGAAGACTCTGGAGTGCGTGTCCTATAAGGAGCAGCTGAGGGAGGTGGGGGTGTTTAGCCTGGAGAAAAAGGAGACTCAGGGGTGACCTTATAGTTCTCTATGACTATCTGAAAGGAGTCTGTAGCTAGGTGAGAGTCAGTCTCTTCTCCCGTGCAACTAGTGACAGGATGAGAGGACACAGTCTTAAGCTGTGCCGGGGGGGTTTAGTTTGGACATTAGGAGGAATTTCTTCACAAAAAGGACGATCAGACATTGGAATGGACTGCCCAGGGATGTGGTGGAGTCATCGTTCCTGGAGGTGTTTAAGAAAAGACTGGACATGCACTTAGTGCCATGATCTAGTTGGCATGTTGGTGTTCGGTAAGAGGTTGGACTCGACGATCTCAGAGGTGTTTTCCAACCTAAGTGATTCCGTAACTCTGTGATTCCCAGGGCTGTCCCTCCAGCCGCCTCAGCGTATCTCGTGTCACGCCTGCCTCCCTCCTCCGCAGCGACCAGACACCCCACCAGGGCATCCCACCTCCCTGCCTTTCCCTCGGGAGAGACCCCATCGAGGGGCTCCTCTGCCTGGGGGCCGGCTGAAGAGACCATCGCTCTAATATAACATGGCTGCGCCGGCGTCTGCTCTCCGTGCGGGCGAGTCACGCACCGAGGGAACCTCCGGGCGGGTTATCCCCCTCAGGCAGCGCAGCCGCTGCCACGCACTCGCCTCTGCGGAGCCGAAGACGGAACGCCGAGAGCCGTAGGCGCAGCCACGGCCGTGAGCGGGAGCGCTGCCTCTGGGCGGGGCTTCTGCGGGGACGTTACAACTCGCCGGGGCTGGCGGCGGCGCCATTTTGAATCGGCCGAGGGTCGGAGGCGGCGGCTGCCGAGCTGGGATCCGCGTCACCCGAGCGAGAACCGGCGAGGAAGGAGCGGATATGGCCGCGAATAGGAACTTGAAGCAAGTGCGGATCGAGAATAGCTCCCCAGCGGCGCCGCTGGGCATGGTGGGGGGTGGCGGCGGCGGCGGCGGCAACCTGAAAGGATTGCGGGGCCTAGAAACGGAGAGTGAGGCGGCGGCGGCCATGGCGCTGGCGCCGAGCAAAGAAGGTGGCGGAGATGAGGAGCAGGAGGGTGGCTTCACCATCGATATCAAGAGCTTTCTCAAACCTGGAGAGAAGAGCTACACTCAGCGCTGCCGGCTGTTCGTGGGGAATCTGCCTACGGATATCACCGAGGAGGATTTCAAGCGCCTCTTCGAGCGCTACGGGGAGCCCAGCGAGGTCTTCATCAATCGGGACCGTGGCTTCGGCTTCATCCGCCTGGTGAGGAGCCGGGCGAGCCCCTGTGGCTGCCCCGTGACCCAGGGGCTGCCTCTGCAAGCGGGACGCTTCGGTCCATTGCCCCCCGCCCCCTTCCCTTCCTTTTCGGCGGGTGTAAAAAAATGGCAATGTCTGCCTCTCATTCTCTCTGCTCGCTGCTAGCGCTGGTCCCTCCCCCTCCTCTTCTTTCTCCCCCTTCCCCTGTTACATGCAAGCCAAAGCCTTGCGTTCTGAGTAGCCCTCCCGGCCCCTGGCGTTTCGGACCCCGCCTCACCCGTCGGCGCTGGGCAGAATTATTTCGAAATACCGCTGCTCACACATCGTGAAAACAGAACATACAATCATGGAATTGCAGAGAATGGGGGACCTTGGTTTGTTTAAATCACTTGTGCCCAGATAAGACTGGATTTTTAGGGGTAATACAGTATTTGATCAAACATGCTCGAGTTGAGCATGCAAAAAAAGGAATCATCCGGAAAGTTTATGATATTGTATTTAAATGTCAATTTAATATGCAGTTTTGGTTTTCATGATTGCCGTGTCTAGAATGCTCCTATTTATATCATTCTCAGAATAGGTTTAGAGTTCCTTGGGTGTCTCTAAATATGATTTTTTCATATATTTTACTGGCTAGCAATTTTTTTCTTTTTGGTTGTCATCTTTAAATGCTTGTGGCATTCTGCCATACATCTTTTACCCTGAGAGTTCCCTAGCCTGAAATAGCGATTTTCTGGAGGAAGTGTGATGTATTTACATGCCATTATTCAGTTTTGTATGTAATAATAGATCAGATAGAGCTTTTATGTGAACTTCCCTTTTCCATTATGTTCAGGAAATGTTTATGTTCTATATATCTATTAGCTTACCTAGTCAGTTGAACTGTGGAGAAAGATCTTAAGAATAATTTCTTTAAGGGATTGCAGGTATCAAACTCGGTGAAGTGAGGAAAAAAAGCAGTTGTTCATGCACACTGTCTCATGGATGTGGGTGCAGAAAGCCTGTAAATGTGAGAAGATATGAGCAGAGAAGGTGATTTCATCATTTGTTGATGAAATTTGAATTGGACATCCATTGAGAGCAAGTGTGATATTTTCACTTATGAAAAAGCAAAACAAGAAGCTAAACCAAAACACCTTAGGTGCTGTAGTGTAGTCTTTGAAAATACTGTTCCTGCTATGTGGAGCTAGGAATGCAGAATATAAACATCTGAGTAGGTAAATATGAAAAAGCATCAAGTTTTCAACTCTACTCAAAGCCTTTATGGGGCAGCACTGTCATAATGGAAATTTGTTAAGTCCTCAAATGTGCAACAAAAGATTAATGTGTGTGTGTCATCTTTTAGAATAAATCATAGGGGATGACAGATGAAAGTGGCATCTGTTGTCTTTAAAAATAAAATCTATGAAATATTTTATATCTTGATAAAGGAATCTAGGACCCTGGCTGAAATAGCGAAGGCAGAACTTGATGGTACTATTTTGAAGAGCAGACCGCTTCGAATTCGATTTGCTACACATGGAGCTGCCTTAACTGTCAAGAATCTTTCACCTGTGGTTTCTAATGAGCTGCTGGAACAAGCATTCTCTCAATTCGGGCCAGTGGAAAGAGCGGTTGTTGTAGTAGATGATCGTGGCAGAGCTACAGGAAAAGGTTTCGTAGAGTTTGCAGCAAAACCTCCAGCACGAAAAGCTCTAGAAAGATGCAGCGATGGGGCATTCTTGCTAACAACGTAAGTTCCCCGGCTTTTGTTTGAATTTGTGTGAGTGTATCTTTCTGCTGTGAACAAAAGCTGCATTTGTGGGCATTTCCTAGTTCTTAAGAAGACTGAGATTCTGCCGAGGTTTATAACAATAATCTCTGGAAAACTTCTATTTTTAGGGCAAGCAAACTTACAAATTGCAGAACTTCTACATCTCTTATTTCTGTAAGTGCTGAAGAGAGTTGTTCAGTGCTGTACTTCACCACATTCACAAGTGACATTTTCAAATGCTTTCTGAAAGACTATTTGAAATGATGATAGTCATGTTTTTTTTTAATTTTTATTTTTCTGATTCTCATTTGGGAAAATAAGACTGTGCTTTCACAGTCTGGAAACTTGCTGCCATTGAATTGGGGAACGTGTAGTTCTTTTCTTGCCTTGGCTGTGTTGTTGATCTTTTTATCTGCTTGAGAACTTCATATTTCCGTAAGCCTCTTGTGCTTGCTAAAACAACAGAAAAGCATTCAGTTTTTCTCGGGCTCTTTTTGGTCTGTTTAAACGCATGATGGTGCTTGGTAATGTCAGGTGCAGGAGAAAATGTTATCAGAAGGAGATTGCAGGTGGGTAAGGGGTCTGGAACTCCTATTTCTTGTGATAATCTCATAAATCTCGTGTGCCACTGAGCTGATTTGGTTGCTACATAGTAAATTCATTCTGAATAGGTCTTTACTGTTATCAGGAGGTGCCAGCAATTTATTCTTATCCCCTGGGTTTTCTTGGCATTAGTATTTGAATGGAAGCGTGGTGAGCCAAACAAGGGAACTAATCTATTCCAGTGTTACATGACTGTTATTTTTGGCATGAGAGATGTGGCAGGGGGAAGAAACCAGGATATGAGGGGTAGTAGTGTTGTTTTACCAGCTGGATAGATTAGTTGAATTGACCATCTAACTGTGGCCTCGGTGAATAAAAAGCACTTGATCTTTGTCTTGCTTAGGTGGCTGACATGTTCCCTAAAGCACAATTGCAAAGATAATTAACATGAATCTGGTGCCATGATATTTTTAAGTTTTGCTTCAGAGTCTAAATCACATTTATTAGCTGAAAACTCTTTGCCTGATGAGAAGAAAATCTTTAAATTCATGGGTTAAATGTATCAAAACTAGACATCTGAAACAACGATCTATAGATTTAAAATTGTTTTGAATCATAACTTGTTAGCGCCACAGTTCAGTTGCATTTAAAAAGCAACTGTCATCAGAAGAAACAGCGGCTGAGTTGTGCCCTGTGATTCCAGACTTCATTTTTTTAACCTAGACTTGATGCACCAAGCGGTGGGTGATGATCTGCAAGGTGAAATAAAGGTGTGGAACATAATAAATGAGTGCTGGTGTTTCTAGCGGTTTAAAGTATGTTTTGTAGGCTCTGCTCCCAAGACTGATGCAGAGAGTTTTTTACACAGTTCAGGATTCTTATACTGCTATCTCTGGCAGTACTGGCTAGTACTTGCCTCTAGTTACTACATTTCAAGGATGTGATTTTCAAAGATAAATTAGGATTCTGATTTGTGAGTGTATGGTTGTTCAAAGAATGGGTTTTAAATAACTTAAGCAGAAATGTCTTTCTAATTATCACTGGAATATTAATGCCAAATTACCAAGGTGTTTTCAATTGTAGAGAAACTTTCAATAATAAGTTCTGAAAGTCTGTAGAAATATCAAATTAGGTTGTGTTATTCTGTTTTGAATTTGAGGCTTTCTCAGTATAGTCATGGCCCCCGTGTTGCCTCACTGATAGGAACAAAAAGGTCGTTCCTTCCTAAGTATGTTGTAATTGTTGGTAGATGGTTTTGATATTTTAAAAAATCCTTCCTTCATAGCAAACAGAACTATGTCAAGTAAGTTGTGGTTTCTGGGCTGAACAGCTGGTTTTGGGCATAGAAACAATTATTTTCAAAGGTAGTTCTTAAAATCAGGATTCATTGACATTCTATGATTTAAGGCAAGATACAGGAATTATAGAGGACGTTTTAGCTTTCTGGAATGTTTCCTCAGAATGCTAAAATAACTGTAACTGCTTGATCTATGATTCAGTTATTAAATTGGAAATGTTTTCCAGAACACCTCGACCTGTTGTTGTAGAACCAATGGAGCAATTTGATGATGAAGATGGACTCCCAGAGAAGCTAATGCAAAAAACACAACAGTACCACAAGTAAGTTGTGATTAGCTTTATTTTATAAAACATGATTTATGTACTTAGTTACCTTGATAAATATACACAGATTTTTATTTTTGGATTTGAGTAACAGGAAGTACTGTGTTGTATGTCATGCTGTTTTGTGTCAAAGGATTAAACAGGGCCTTCCCAGAATTTTCTAATCATAGTAAAATTCTGATTTGGCTTGTTGGTTTTACAGTCTGTGTGTTTTTTAAAGTAGAGAGATTCTTGACCTACACTGCAGTCAGTGGGAGCCTGTTGCCAGACAAGCTGTAGTCTTTTATGGATTAGGAGTGTGGTCTAATCCTGCAGAGATTTGTGTACCCTCAGATTTTTATGTTCTCTGAACAGTCCCTTAACTGTTTGCAAACTCAGTGGATGGGACGTCTTTGCAGCTTCCACAGTTCGGATAAAACTTTGAGCGTGACATGAAAAAGTGAGTCTTGATCATGAGGTAGAGAAGTCACCTAATCTGAAAGTACTTATTTTTAGTATTGTAATTTGCCACTAAAAATCATATTGCTTGAAACTAAAATGTGTATTCTGGTAAGGCTGTAGAATACCACTTCCTAAAAATTGGTGACTGTTAGGTACAGTATTAGTGTTAGAACAGGAAATAAAATGTTGACACCTTTTAATGTGTACAGATTCTGGTTAATATTCTGAGCTGTCTAGTAAGCTTTGATAGTTATCTAAATAACTGGTTTTATGAATTGACTGCTTGCTTTAGAAGGCTGAACACAGTTAATCTGGTGTTGTACCTTGGTATTTTGTACTGGTGTAAATACAAATTTTTATCTTAAATAAATTGGGCAGATCTTTACTGGACAATTTTTGGAAAACTGTCTCTGTTACTTTGTTACTTGACTTAACAGCTGAATTAAGCTTTGTCTGGTTCGGAATATAGTCATCTGACAGGTTGATGTAAGGTCAGATCTGCACTTGAAGTTATTGTTTATACATGCTCTGGCTGTTGCAGCTGTTGATCTAAACGTGTCCTTCTGTACATTTTAACCGCAAAATTTTTATTAGGGAAAGAGAACAACCTCCACGTTTTGCTCAGCCTGGAACGTTTGAGTTTGAGTATGCTTCACGGTGGAAGGCTCTTGATGAGATGGAAAAGCAACAGCGTGAACAGGTCGACAGGAACATTAGAGAAGCCAAAGAGAAACTAGAGGCAGAAATGGAAGCAGCTAGGCATGAGCATCAGTTAATGCTGATGAGGCAAGGTAATATTGGATAATCTACTAGTATTAAATTTGTTTTGTCACAGATTTTTTTTTGTGTAGTATATCATGCTGTATGTTATACTTAAAGATTTTGCCAGCCACTATTCAATGAAATGCATTTAACTGAGAAAAAGGAGGTAATATTTCTCCTTACACATGTTCCTCACTGATTTGCAGAAATGAATTAAGAAACTGAGAAAGGGGCAATTGTCTAGGTCTGTTTTCTTCACTTAAATTTGTCTAGTTGCATAGTTTGTGTAAAATAATTGAATAGTAGCTTCACACTCATCAGTAAAGATTATTTTCCACTTTTGATGTTCCTTATGGTACTAGATAGGACTGAGTACTATTTGCCGGTCTTGTGCAGGGAAAAATAAAATGATAGCTTGTACTTGTAGCTGCTTTGTACGCCTCTAGTATGATATTAAATGTTCCAGTAGCTAATGTTACTTTTTTTTCCTTTGAAACCCAGCTGAGAAGTCTGATATGTGCCTAGTATTATATGTATGTAACAACTCAAAATAGCACACAGTTGCTGTGAATTTCTGCTGTTGTTCGAATTTTAAGATCATTTATCCCTTTTTTGTAATTATTTGAACATCTTGTCTTTCCTAATTGGGGCAAAAAGTTCTTTAGCAATTGCTTTCAAGCCTTATCTTTACGAATGGAGCAGGGTGAAGCTTGTGTTTCTTGGGCAGAGAGAACAGTAGTGGGGCAAGTACTAAAGTTTTTTGGTTTTTTAAATCTAAAGGGAGATCATGGCTGCCTAAAAAAATTTTTATCCCTCAGAGTGTTAGATCATAAGACAGTACAACAAGTAGTTTGATAGACTGAATAAGAATGCCTTGTCATTTTGAAGGGATGGGAACTTGATGAGATTTTAAGTAGTGGCTGCATTTCAAAACCTAAACCCAATTAACTGGCAGAAGTTGTTTGCTGCAGTTACTTGGCTTTACTTAAAGCTTACACTTACAAAGGGACATTTTTGTCAACAGTATGACCTCCCTGTGTGGGACTGGTTTCTTTTAATTTTTTTCCTGCTTACTTGGAGGCAACGTTGAAAGTATATGAGGTAGATTAGGTTAGTCACTAGACTGGTGGAATTAGAGAACCTAAATGCTTGAATATATTGCATGTAAATGCAGAGTCTTCTAAAATAAGCTTTAAAACATTTTCATAGTTGGGAAGGAGTTTTAAAGGAACGTACTTCATTTTTTATATAGTATTTTTAAAACTACTGCAACTGAAAGTTGTCATTAGGAAAAAGTTTATTTAGCCTTTTTTTCCTGACTAGGCACAAATGCTTTCAGTGTGAAGCCATGCTGTTTTTATAAGGTCTTATATAGAGCATAATTACTAAAACCATAATTTATGTATATAATAACATATAAAGCATAAGATCTAATACAGAGCGTAGTAACGTCGTAAACTGTTTTGCAGCACCTGAAATGACAACTGTCATGTTGTTTCTTGGTTTACTTTCCAAGAAAAAATGTTAAAGTGTTTAGTTTGTGTGTAAGCATAGATGTATCTTACAGGTGAGGAACGTGCATGTTAATGGGATATAACAGCAATGCCTATAATACACCATACAGCCCTCCCTTTTCAATTAGACATATATTTTTAATTCTGTGTGTATATGTGATAGATATTTCCTAAGATGGTTCAGTGCTGAAGATGCAGGTTGGATAAATTTACCATTGATTTACCTAATTGCTAATATTTAACAGTGTTAATGGTCCAGTTCTAGAACTCATGCTCTTATATTTTCTCAGAATTCATTCACCTGTTGCCTGTATTTGAGGGCAAGATCGGGGATTACTTTTTCTTAAATTATCATGCCTTAATTATGTTGAGTGAGACAATATGACAGTAGCCTATTTATTAAGATAGAAAAGCTCTTGATGGTAAAACATGGGAAAGCAGCTTAGATGTGTTTTGTAGATACTGGGGTTTCTTTTAAGTACAGTGTGAAGGAAAAGATATTCCTCTTTTGAAATATCTATTAAGCCCTGCTTTTATATGGAAAAGGAAGAGAATTACTGCTCCCATTAAAGAACCACTAGAACATAAATTCATTTGGTGCTAATATTCAAGTGAGAAAATGTGCTATCTGTTAGTGTGGGAGGAGGATTTGTTTTCCCCTCACAGTTCAGTTAGCAGAGTACTTTCTTGGTACCAGATAACTTGGAATTTTGTTCAGCTAATTAGATTTCTGCTGATTCACCTGCAAATGTTTTCCAAGATCTAAGGGTTAGTAAGTATTCCTTCTGTTTTAAACTCAATTCTCCAGCTTCAGTATGTATGAAAATAAGGTTATGTTTTTGTTTTTGTTTTTTTTTTTGGAGATTAGCTGCCTCTAAATGTTATTGGTCTAAACAGTGTCTGTGGGTCTAAGTTTATGCCATGCTGAGAATATTAATTTTATTAATGAGATTGCATCACAGGGTTTTTAAGACAGATGCAATGGAACTTCTAAGGCATCAGAACCTAGAATTAATATTTTTGTATACCTGATGCACTAAGTCAGATTTAAAGATGCATTAGTTATTATAAAATACGAAATGCAATATTTTAATTATGTAGGAGCTAAAAAGAAGATGAAATAATGAGCTTACTGGTCCATATACTCCCGCAAGTGAAGGTTTTGTAGAAACTGCTTTATGAGAGTTAGTAGGACTTGAACTCTAGAATGTGTTGGTTTAAGTACTCAGATTTTCGTGGTGTGGTATTAATACTGAAGGTAGATTTCATTCTTTTGATATGTGTAATTTTTCACTTTTAAGTGTCATGTTTTGACAGACTGAGTCAGAAGTAATTTGTAAAGCAGAATACGTGTTTCCATGTGTAAGTAAATTACATGATACTTCTGGTCTACATACTGTGGTATGTGTCAAGCTTTTATAAATATTCTCTCATAATGATGGTTAAATAGATTATGAAAATATTGGGAAGCGTGACTGAATTTAAGCAGAAGCTTAATTTTTATATCAATTAGTGGAAGATTAGCATTTATTTTCCATTTTTAGATCCTGAAAAATCAGCAGCTAAAACTGCTTAAAAGTCTTTGTGGAGTTGGTATTCCAACTTGTAGGATTAACTTCTGAGATAAGAGTACACTTTTACCTTCTTCCATCTGCTGTGTGGAAGGATGAGGATAAAATGAAGATGTTGTCCTTTTAGAAGCACAAGAAAGTGCAGAGGCTTTTGGGTTTTTTTTCCACAGTTGGTTTACTGCAGATTTTTTCAGTTTGGAGAAAGACCCCGTGTCCAACATATGTCAGTAAAGAATTACCATAATTGCAGAGCTTTTAATACGAATGGCTCTTGTGCACAGCCCAAACCTGTATATCAGTATTTTCCCTTGGCTCGTAAGGCTTTGTGCCAAGATTCTGCTGTTGTCAAATGCTACTGAATCATGAATTGCTATGTTGAACTTTAAAATACTAACAATTTCAGCAAAGGCAATAATCACAGCTATACAATGGAAAAAAATTAAGAGAATAGTGGGAAAAGTAGTGTGCTACACCTTAAGAGCAAAGGGAAGTAAATGATAAATTTGTAGCAATTACTAATGGAGAGAAAGTAGGAAATCCTGTGCCAGTGTGCACGAGAAATAGGGAATGCTACATAAAATTGAAAGAACAAAGAACTGAAAAGGAAACATCTTTTCCCGCAGTGGACAGTGTTGAGTATAGAGTGGGTCGGTTCTTAATCTCTGATACCTTGAAGCAACCTAAAGGTTCATTTTAAAAGAAGAGTAAGTACACTTGCACTCTGAAATATTCTGGAGGTTATTTAAAAGGAAAAATAGTGTGCTTGTGACATTCCTGAAGTATCAGGATAACAGTGGCCAGGCCTTTTATGGCAAGCACTGTTGGAAAGAAGTGGCCCTCAGACTTTGTGATTTGAGTGAATCTTCGATGTAGTCATATTCAGTTCAAGTGTGAAGTGTGTTAATTTTGCAGAAGAGATTGGAAAAGCAATCCTGCAAAATGTGCTTGAGAAAAGACTTCTAATGTCAATAAGGATGTTGTGAGAGTAAAAATCTGATAATCTTTGTTAGAAATGAAAACAAATACATGATATTTGGGCAAAATATACTGGTCATTGTAGTGTCGGGATATCAAAGTAAAATTTTAAGTTATGATAATTTATGTTGATGCAATTTTGAGGAAAGTGATTTGCATAGCTAAAAAGATTATATAATTAGTATAGTGAAGAAACACATAGAGAAATGTGCAGAATAGTTGAACTAAAACATAACAGGCATATAATAGTTTGTATGGGTGGAATGTTCCTGGTGGTGTCTATAAATAATGTCTTGGGGCCAATGTACTCTGAAGATAGAAAAGACAAAGAACTGCTTCCTAACAAAAGGTAGAATTAGTATTCTTTGAAGAAAGGATAAATTTCCAGGCAGGAATCTATAATATGACTGGTCAGCAAAAGTAATAACTATGAGTTGTGCCCTGCTATGTAAGAGCATTTTAAGTGCTTCTAAAGGGGTTATGGCTCTTCCTTTGTGGTGGGGGTTAAAATACGAGTAATTTCTAAGTTGCTATAGAGTCATGTGATAAATCTCCATGGAGGTTTGAATTTCATGCACAGAAATTCATATAATTTTTTTTTTTCTGATGTGTGCCATTGTAGTGGTCTGCAATAGATAGTGGAGAGTATAAGTAAGTCCATATATATTGTACTAGTAGTGTACTAGGTGTAGTGTACTTCATACTTGACTTTAGCAGTATACAGCATTGTGAGAACATTGATGCCCTGCCCCAGATGTAAAACCAGGATGTGATTTAAGGGATTGTGAGATTTTTCTCCGTTTCTTTGGGGACTTCAAATTTCTGTTGTCCTAACCTGCTGTGGAGACTTTGCCCATCCTGTACCTTTCTGCCTTTATGAGCCATAGATCCAGTGTGTTTTTTCATAGCTTTATGGGAAGAAATGAGTTAAATGCATTGATGAATTTGTTTAAAATTTGAATGTTATAACTGTAACCCTACAAGAATAACAATTTTTATGTTGCCACACTATTAATTGACAGCTTTTATATTTAAATACACTTTTAATCCCGGTAGATCTCATGCGTCGCCAAGAAGAATTGAGGCGTTTGGAAGAACTTCGAAATCAAGAACTTCAAAAACGCAAGCAGATACAATTGAGGTATTTTGTCTTCTACTGTGCAAAAGTGTGGCATGCAGCTGCTGTAGGCCTGTGTGAATTTAGATACTTCAGCTTGTCGAGCTTGCTATTTATACCAAATAGAAGTGTTTCTGCTGCTAAAAATTTGCTTTTCAAAAGCATAATATGTGCTGTTTCTGATAATGTTAATATAATGCTAATGTAAAAGAATGGTTTCAAGTTTTCCTTGAATTTTTTCATTTGTATCAGCTCTACTAGTTCTGTTGTAAATTTCTGAGATTTCTAAATAGTGTAGAAATGTTTTAACATAGTGTTTTTGTTTCATATTTATTTTAACCTTGTCACTGCAGCATAGCTGTGATAGATGTGAACATGCTTCTAAGATTTATGGGCAGGGGATCTGCATATAGAACTGTAGCATTGCAATTTTATAGTCTGACATGGGATTTTGGAGGGTGATTTTGCTTTATGTTCTGGTATATTGCAAATATTGGTTTTCGTGTCTGCTAAAATTTAAGAAAATAGACATAATGTCATCATGCTGATTAAGTTTATACTTTTTGTGTTAAATATCACAATAAATGTTAAGAAAAAAAGAATAACACAAACTCAGAGTTAAAAATGTATGTGTTGACAGTATTGAAATGTTTTAATCCATAGTGACTTGTTAAAAAGTTTTAACCTGCTCACCAGTATGTACCTGAAAGACTACATAGTATATACTGGTATTGCAATTACCTGGATTCCAGTTTAAAAAAATTTAAAAATACTTCAATAATATTCCAACTCATCAAGTGGAGTAGATTAGTGCCTTACACTGTATAAAAAAATAAGTAATGACCAGTTTTGTTTATACGCTTGATCTTATGTCCTGAGACTGAGTAGCAGACTGAACAGGTGAAGATACTAAGCTGACGTAATTTTTGAAAAATATTCTAGACATGAAGAAGAACACAGACGTCGTGAAGAAGAGATGCTACGTCAGAGGGAACAGGAGGAATTACGACGTCAGCAGGAAGGAGGATTTAAGCCAAATTTCATGGACAATGTAAGTCAAAATCTATGATAAAAGTCCAAATTGCAAAATAATTTTTTTATTGTATTATTTGTTGTATTAGCTATTGAATTGCCATCTTCATGTTTACTGTTTTTAATTTAGAATTCCGTCATTCTCTTGGGAGAAGTGGTGCATATTCAGTAGTGTGGTTATTCTCTTGTATGATGACATCACTGTTATTTTTCCTATGAACTGGTGATGTAACACTTCAGTTACCTTAAGGTGTTTAGATAATTTGTCTTTTTTTATTTGGGAAAGGGGATGGGAATCAATGATGTTTCCATGAGGAGGTGCCTTAGTCTACTTGAAGGTTTAAATTTGAAACCAGTTCATGGTGTTAAGCTTGTTTGAATTGCTTGTTTTGGTTTATGCTTACCTTAAGAATAATGTACTCCAGAAACAAAATGGGCAGTGTTAATTTCATATGGAGCCTGAAATTGCTCTTGGTTTTGACCCTACTGTAAAACTAGATGAAGAAAATATAAAAATCTTTACTAAAGGAGACTGAAAGATTATAAAGGTGGGAAAAAATTGTCCTCTTCTATAATTTCTACATTATTTATATTAGTAATTTAGATATGCTCTGCCTCTGCAGGACTAGCAAAATGGTGGTATCAGAGGAGTCAGCTTCTAAATTTTCATGATGATCTGTTTTGGTAAAGGAATATGGCTCTCTCTACCAACCAAGTCAGTTAAATGAATGCAACCTGTGTTGCAAATGCTTTAGTTTCATATGAGTAGGATATCTTTTACTGTTACAGCTATTCTTAGTGAGGAAGCAATGAATAAGCGATTCACACAATGCTCTTTTATGTTATTATAACAACTGTAGTCTGCAGGAGGGAAATTTGCTCCCCTTCACAGATACAACTTGATACATGAATCAGAAATGAACTGCTGATTTCTCAGCTACTTTCTGTTTTTGTGGAAGAAATACCTATTTTACATTCTATACCTTAAAATTTTCTGTGTGGTTGCAAAGAATTTATTACATATGTTCTGAGACATCCTAAGAGATGCTAGAAAATAAATGATTTCCTGCTCTTGGCAGGACATTTTTCCCATCCTCTGCCACTTAGTGTTTTTAATAAAGATTGGGAGAAAGCAGAATAGTTCTTTTGATTTTACTAACAGCTATCAGTTGATTTTTCACTCAGTGTTTTGAGGGACTTGGATCAGAAAGCAGTTAGTCTTTTTATTTCTGTAAGTGCTCACACTGTAAAAGAAAATTGCTTTCAGCATGTCTTTTTTTCGGGCTGATGAAGACCAGGAGTTCAAAACTCATACTGTCCTTTAGTGTGTTCCAAATATTATTAAACAGACTTCGGTAAATAGCATATAACAGTTGCCTGATGTAATTTAGAAATAGTACTTACTGATCGTAACTTCTGTACTGCCAAATGTGAAATTTCATTTCACCTTAATATCTTAATGTAGCATCTTTTAGGGTCACCTGACTTTCTGACCCTGTAAGCTACCTGTCAAAATGCTCCTCTGCCTGTTGTGTGAGGCCCGTGCTTCTCTCTGCAGAGAACTGCACCAGCTGGAAGCTGGGGAGCCAACCCACAGGCTTGGGATAGCAGTAGCTCCCGCAGATTCCATTGCTGTTAGGAGGTTGTGGCCTATATTCTGCAGCTTGGAGTGCTGGGGAAAACCAGATAACGTTGGCCACCACAGCCGTTAACTGCTTTTCTTCTTATATCTGTCTTGAGAAAATGTTATTTAGTCTCTGTGCTTGAATTGCTTGCCACAGTTTGGCCATCCTCATTGCTTATCTACGTTTTTAAATTCCAAACTCTGTGTAAATAGAAACTATTCCAAGTTGCTGTGCTGGACTTGGCAAAAATGTAGGGTAAGAAGGGAAGAGGAGTGGTTCGAATGGAAAGCACTTCAATCACTGTGCACAATTTTTGTGACTTTTATACGTTGAATTTTTTTGGAGGGGAAAGGCAAAGGTGGAAGAATGGTTTGGAAGAATGTAGCCTCCCCACTGTGTTGGGTTCATCTGGAACTAATTATGCACTGCTAGAATATATATTTGTAGCTGTGCAGTAACAGCCCTACTGAAAGTGTGGAAAGTTATATGTAAAGGAATATGTAGTACAGGTGTATTTTTAAATGTCATATGAAGTGGTATATACAATAATATATGACAAAAATCTTTTATCTAGACTAGTCTTTAGTATTCTGGTCATGTTTTGACGTGTGTTTTACTTCTGATGTTCTTTGAACCTTAAAAACAGGGTAGAATGAAACAAAATTGAAAGTTACGTGTTTACTTACTTTCTTTAGCAGCAGTTTCTAATCAGGGCAGCTCTGTGACTAAGCTCGCCTGTCATTTTATAGGTGTTTGTTACAACATTTTTTTAGATAACTGTACTTAGGTAGTGTGAATGGGAATTGAAAAAGCCTTTGCATTTTGCAGCAGACAAAAATTGTGAACTATGTCTGGAGATTGCAAAATGATACATCAAATCTGTTTTCAACTTAGAATTTCTTATACAACTGATTTTTTTTATTTGTTCTTACTAATACCTCTTTACTGGGAACAGATTCCATCTGGTACTTACTTCTAGTCTCAGATTACCATTGTACATATACTGAAAAAGTTATTCTCTATTTTAAGAGTTTAAAAGTTGACTGTTGGTAAGAATTGCATTTTTTTATACTGGTGGATAGTTTTTTACCATATCAGGTCTTGATAAACTCTTTTGGCATAATCCTTATAACATATTAAATTCTCTTGCCAACCATTTAGAAGGACAATAATAATTGTTTCTAATCCTTGTTTTTGTTTCTTAAAAGCTTTGAAAAGTAAGCTTTCTTCGCTTATATCCTATCCCTTTTTACTGTTCAGTCTAAAAGAGGAAGATAAATGGTAAGTGCGACAACCAGAATTGGAATCTCTCCTATAGGGCTGCAGTGTTACACTTTCCTGTTGAAAGTTTCTATCTCTGTCTTTTCCCTAAGTCATTAAACTTTGATTCTTTTAAGTATAACTGCTTTTGAAAAGCATCTTGTAATCAAGTTTAATGCAGTGTCCAGTTACTTTGTTTAGTTACAGATGATAAAAATATTTTCTGTGGGGGGATTTCTTTTCCTGAAGCATTCTTGTTTCTGTTGATGTACACTAGAAATTTGATTGCATTGATTGTTAGCCTAATGGGCAGCCTAGTGATGCCTAAAGAATTTACTAATCTGGTTCTGTGATCTCTACTAGATAAGTTATTGATAAACACTTCCATATTGCTTAGAGATTTTCCCTTGCTTTCTAAAAGTCGGTTAGTTAAAATCTGTTGTTATATCTCAATATATATGCGTTCTAATTTCACAGTACCTTAATTGGGAAATTTGTTTTCCTGTAGTATTTTGGTAGTTTTTATTTTGTGTACATTCCTCTGTCTGAAAGAGGATCTTGCTGATGGTGATTGAAAACAATATTGTATTTTTCAACAGCACAAGTACTTTTTAAAAAAAAGTACTTCTGAGTGCTGGTTAATACATTAATTGTTCAGACATGCAGTGGTTACTATCCAGTTGTGAATCACTTGCTTAGATTTACACTGTTAAATCTCAGTTGGAGCCTTTTTACCAAATAATTCCAGTTCCAGGAAATACTTTTATTCATGTCACCAGCTTAGAGTGATTTGGATTTAGTATATTAAAATAGTTTTCATGTACCTACGATAGAGACCAAAATATGTAGGAGTTATAGTCTTAGTTTTGTGGTGTACAGATTTAATTCTGTAGTAACAGTGTGAAATAGGTGATTATTGTAGTTGATGAAACAATAGTTGCAATAAAAACTTACAGCTCTTCTTCCTGATAGTTTAAAGAGGGAGTTGAGATTTTTGGATGTCCTTGCCCTCTTCCCTCCGTGGAAACTCCTCTTTTTCAAAGTGTAACTTGCATATGTAGGGAACTGATTCCTGTGAAATGAGTTTAAACTTCTGAATGCTTCGTGTTCTTTCATGTAAGACTTCGTATATTAAATACTTTTCCTTTTAATCTCATAGTCTTTTCAGGAATTATTTGTAGATGTTTTGCTTTCCTTCAGTTTTTCTTGCAGGAGCACTGCTGCTCAAGTATGTTGTGTAAGTATCGGCATAAAGTGGCAACCACGAAAGCAGTGGAGATTGCTTCAACAGTGGAGATTGTAGTGGACTTGTATCAAAAGCTGTAAGACAGATGAGAGCAAGGGAGTAAAAAAGCACATTGCAAAACAAGAGTGAAGTTCATAGCTTCATATTCCCACCATATTTAGTTTTTCTTCTAAGAGTTTTGTCCTTCTTTGGAGCATTTATAAATGTAGCTTTCCATTTCTTACTGTTTGGAGCCTACTGAGGCGTGTCTTATCCCTCACCTCTACGTTAACTTGCAAGTTAAGCATTAGACATGTTTGAAACAAAACTGTCAGATTTCCTTGGACTTCTCTAATTCAGGAGTAGTTTTTTGCACTTTGTGCCTCTCAAGTGAATGGAACTGTATTTTTATCCCGTCTTCTGATAGTATTATGCTCAAAAGCTCTAGTAGTGTAAGCAGTTTGAATTGTTCACAGAATCATTTCCTACCTTACTCTAGACTAGGGCAGATGCCCAGTGAAATTAATAAAAAATTTCCAAGGATCTTTTCAAATTTGATCTGTTTTCTAATAATGTTGGTTATTTTATCTTGACAGCTTAGTATACTTAGTGAGGCTGATGCTGGTGAAGTTTTGAGAGGTTGTATAAATAAAGTCTTTGTTTCTTGATGCTTTATAAAAACTCTTTTTTATAGAGAGAGACATGGTTGGGAGACATGAATTACCTCCTTACTGCAATCCAGCATACATACTTGTGGAAGCAGTAGCTCATGTTTGACGCTTTAAAAGCCTTTTAAGGTAAAACGAGCTTGGAGAAAGGCAGATCATTAAACATAGAACTAAAAACACCAACCTGACAAAACATTCCTGCTTTTCTTGGCAGTGGTTTTACTTCAGTGATCAAGTTTCT